GGGGGAAAAATCCGCCCTGCCCACCACTTCACCCCTTCCTGAAATACGCGGATTGAGCAGCATGTTGGAGCCCACACAACCGCATCTGGGCCTGGGCACGCCACCGTGAGCTGCCAACCTGAGGCTCGTCACCTGTTTCCGACTGCCCGTGTCGCGGCGCAAAGCATGGAAATTGAAATCTGCTTCAAATACATTTTAGATAGTGCAAGGTACCTATGATGGTCTGGAACCACCCTCCACTACACCCACTTGTGCCACGCTTACGTTGCAACCAGCCTGCCAGCATCAACAGCTGCATCTCGCCCATCATCGCCTCATATTTTGGGTCAATCTGCGAAACTCTCCCAATCACAGTCGGCAAAATCAAATGATTGACAACTTCAACAATTGGTGTTTCTTGGTCGCCTCTGACACATACACAGCACACACATATCCGATAAAAATCATACTAAACCTCATCAGGTATCTTTTGTATCTATATTCCACAATCTATATATAGCTATATTAATATAAAACCTAAGCTAAGGTCAGTCTTCTTCCGTGGGGTTCCGCTCGTCCGTGGTTTCCTGAAACCCGCACCTGGAGGTCAGCGATCACAAAGCTGAGCTGCCGGAAATGGCAGCTCACCTGGAGCTGTGGGAAGCGGCTTGACCTTTATTTATGGAATGCTGGTGCTTTCCGCAGCGCATGCTTCATTGAGGAACTTGAAGGTAGACAATCGTCAGCGCGGTGGAAACCCATGTGCTTCCAGAGGTGTCTGCAAAAATGGGACTCGTATGCAATCATAGGACCTTCGTTTTCTGATCCACAGCGAATTTGTGGTCCGGCTTTGGCTTCTGTGGAGGTGCCTCGGCGTGTTTTCTTGTTGAGGTGCCGGGCATCCCGCTGGGCGGCGCCCAGCCTGGGCGCCCTTGGAAGGGTTTGCCAAGCTAGACAACTCCCGCCCTGTACATCTGCAGTTGGGTGAGTCGTCATTCCCCGAAAACAATCATGGTTATGTGGGAACCGTGAAGGCCCCTGGGTCCGACCATTTTCCTCCACAAAGGGGGTCCTGGTCAGCTTCGATTCTTTTAGGGGTACTTCAAGCACTGAGAACATGTTGGCTTCAAGAACCGTGAGTTGGGCCAGTCAGCTTAAACCTGATGCCGGGCCTGGGCAAAACGATCTTTTTTTCTGTCTCGATTGATGTTGGCGCTGTGTCACAGAGACTTTGTGAGCAAAAAGCCACGGGTCTGGTACTGGAAACTGACAAGCACGTGCATTTCATGGGGAGGAATTTCTATTTTCTGCATTCTACATCATCAAAACTCTCGGCTTCAACCAAATGCTCAGGGTTGATCTTGGAACAGTCACCCCGACTTGCGAAAGAAGCTTGAAAATCACGTTGCTTCCAAATCTTCGAAGACATATAGGTCAAAAAGATCTGTTAAATTTCAGGAGATCGTTGGATTCTAGTCAAGTCCTGCTACTTTCACCATGGTGTTTCCCTGGAGCTATACCTGGCTCACGCTGATCCACCAGCTGGCTCACTTCAAGAAAGTAGGATAAACAAAACCCAGCTGGTCCAAAAACATGAAGACTCCTGAGACACCCACCTGGTTGTGGATCTTATCTTTACCAAAAAATTTTCCAAAAATTAGGTTGTTTATCCGATCCCAGTACGTCAGCCACTTTTGAGATCTTTTGAGTACTCCAGTCTGGACCGATGAGCACCCGATCCACTCATGCCCAATCCGCATGAATTGGGGCGTTCATCCCCTAGCCAGCCCTACCTTTCCAATGATTTCGAATCTTTGAAAGAATTGTCCGTCATCCTGCTCTGATTTCCGCAGCTCCCCCCTCTGTCCTGGAGGCATCTTGAAGGCTTTGGCCATCTGGGGCGCACGAGACTCACTGTGCTCAACACAAAGAGCAAGGAAACCAAGACCTGGTTGGCGGTTTCAACGCACGAGTTCAAAACATATTGCGCTTGCGCCATGTCTTCCCATGATCTACGGCAAAATGTCTGACAAGGCAGTTTGAGCCAGATCAACTTTAGAAAGAAACATGACCCCAACAACTTCAGGCAAATATAAAGTTGAATATAGACTTTGTCATATGAGAAACTCTCAAGAAAAAGTGGTTCTCACGCAATACCACAACATCATAATGAAATATGATGGTCTGAAAAAATACGACGAGCGGGGAAACTCTTCTTTGGGGGGACCAGTCACACAAACTTGTCAGAAAGGTTCAACAATGTTCAACGCACTCAAGGAAAGCAGGTGCTGGCTCTGATCGTCCTTTTCAACACTTGGCTGTCACGTCATTCAATGAAAGTGTGCAACTAACTAGCCATTTTTGGCTACAGCTCCATGGCCTAAAGAACGGCCTCAGATCTGGCGTTTGAGCCAGCTTTGGATTGAATTGGCTGCGCCAAAAGCTGTCTTGGAAGTACCTTCTGGCAGGTACGAACGAGAAGTCCCCGACCCAACGGTCGACCGTTCGCTGCCTGGAAATTCTAAAGCATCGGTCCCATGGGCGACATCGCCTCGTGTTCGGCGTAGTTCACCTTCCAATCTAAGTCGTCCAAGGGAACTAGTTGCTGTTCCAACCTAGAAGCAATGGCCTCCAACCTAATAGCGTTGGCCTCAAACCTAGAAGGAATCTCTTGTTTCTTCTTTAGAGCAAAAAGGCAGCAGAGGATCACTATTGGTTTGCCAACCCGAGACCTTGTGCAAGATGTGGAAGAAGTTGGCCTCGACTACTCGAACTACTCGAAGCATCGGTAAACCGGAGTGCATCGCAGTGAAAGCCGTCACTGGTGCTGGTGTGCCTGTGCTTAGCTGTGCTTCATGGAAAAACACAAAACGAAAGCAATCTACAGTAGAGAGACTAGGTTTTCCCCCACAAACTCCTTGTACAATCTTGAGACCTTGCCAGGGCACGGTGATCCAAAGCACTCCGCAAGCAAAAGCCAGAAAGCAGCTGGCGCGGTACATGATCCTGGCAATGCGGCAATGGATGTGCGTACCGACATACCAAAGCATTCCTCAGACCTGGTTTTCCATCCTGCAACTCTCTCAGTGATCAACTCCGAAGTGCGACGATGCCGGTCGCCTGGGAGTCACCGTCTGTCCCATGGAACTTCTTGTGAGCGCTGCCTGAGAACAGTCACGTGAACATGCCACGTCGATCGGGGTGAAGTCGGTGAAGTCCAAGACCGGTGCTTTTTTGGACAAAAGAAGAAAGAAAAAGAAGCAAAAAGCAGAGGACGAAAGACAGAAGAAGCAAGAAGCTTTCGGGCATCGCTACGAACG